TATTATTATTCCATTAAAAAATTTTTTTTTAAGGTAAATGAGGAAAATGAAGCTTGGTGCCGGTCACTGTATGCCAATATATTATTGTAAAATCGGATAATAAATGACGAAATTTATAAGACAGTACATTTTCTATAGGCACCCAGAAACGACAAAATATCTAAAAGTAATAATATACCAAGCTGGTAAACTTACCACTCACTAATATGTTATCTTACGAACGTTATTTATTATAGTGTATACTTATAATTTTTTTTGTCCACCTTGTATAAATTAAATAAATAAAAGCAAATGTAAACAAAACCTCAAAAAAATAATTTGAGATATATAACGAATTATTCCATACTTATCGACTTCACTTGTACAAATACAATTATAAAGATTAATAAAAAATTTACCCTATATCTATTTAAGGTTATTAGGTATAGCAGTACATTAACATAAGAATAGAAGACATTCCCTTATAAATTTGTCGCTGTTTATTTGAATTAGTATGTTGCCTAATAAGGAATAGTTTTCACCAAAGTGAATTTACATATTTGTGTTAATAAGAAAATGACTTACCTTATTTTAAATAGAGCTTGAAAACTGGCTATTTAATGATCTCTACAATGCACTGCAGTTTCATTCTCCTTGTCGTCACATATTACGCATCGTAAGCTTTCTGGGTACATTCGTCATTATATCTTATCAAAATTAAAACGTTATAAGCAGTAATGTAATAGGTATCGTCGTTCTAAGGTGCAATACCCAGTGATCAAGTAATGGGCAATCACCTTGCAAACGTATAGATAAAAAAAATTGTATTTAAATTATTAATCTCAAACTAATGTTTCCGTTATTATCTGAAATTACCTATCTGTGGTATAGATTTTGTTTTTTCATTATTTATTGTCTATTTTGCTACTCTTGAACAAAATTTATAAAATAATAAAAATAAACCCTCTTCCCAAAAGGATCAGTAAAGGATTATTTTTATGAAAACATCTAAACCAAAAACCTTACTCTCTAAAAAGCAGTCAATAAGTTGTTGTAGAGTTGAAAATCTACCTGTTTTCGTTTTTAGAACGCAGCATAACATTTCGTTTTAAATTATGTTGGATTGGTTTTGTAATGTCAGTTTAAATTTTTATATTTTTATCTGCTTCCACAGTTAGATATATGATGTTTATTATGTTATTACTGCTTTAATTTTGTAACCAACAAGGATCCAAGGTCACAAATTAACATAAAAATGTGATATTTTTGGTTAAGCTCATAAAAGTAATCCTTCACTGACTGGCGCATTTTTAAATTTGTTTTCGCAGTTGCCAGTATACCCAATTAATAAGGAAATAATAATAATGTTTCCTTATAAAAAATTATATTAGTGCACTACTTTGGCATAATATCAATTGTCATAATTAGAATATTTGCATCTAAGTAATAATTAGTCGTATACAGGCTGTCTACTATAAGAGGGCCACTCCTATGTATCTCGCTTAATACAAAATGCACGTCAAAAATCTTTATATGTTTTTTGTTGTATTTTTTGAGGCCTTGATGTTTGTAAAAACAAATTTGAGATCCACGGTCAACTTTATGAGAAATCATGAAAAGACTGGAAAAGTACCGAAAGTTTAGGGCCGTCTAACTTTTTTATTTTAAGGGATAGAGAAAACTTGTTTTAATAAAATTTCATGGCAAAATTGATATCTTTCATAAATTTTTGAAGTATCGGAAGTAATTTGCTGCGCCCTCTACGCGGACAAAAAAAATTGTCATCGAAGCAGGCTGTGGATACAAAAGAATGCTTGTTTTTTCCTCATTCATGCGATGTACTACATGTTGCCTTTATCCTTTATATTTATTACATTTTTATAATTTCGATATCAAAAATGTAGATTAATGTATAGAAATTGTTTAAACAGGCCAACTACAATAAATTTTATGAATATGATGTACTTTTTTAAAGCTAAGAATCTGCAATATCTGGCACCCATCAGTTTACCATCATAGAAGTAAGGTCCTATGATGTCGGTGTCAAGAATTCTAACCCAAACGTTCATTGAAAACCTCTGTTGAAATGCAATTTCTCCGTGTCAATGTTAATTAATTAATGTTAATTACCATTAGTCCATTTGAAGTAAATGTTCCTATTAAAAAATCCATTGTTACAAAAATCCCACATCTGACCAGAGAATTCTTTCGCATATAAAAGGATGTTCCCTCTTGCTTTTTTGTCACCATCTACAAAATCCTAATCTCATCGGTTTATTTTCTTCCCTTAAGCTCAAGAGGTGCACTTTTTTCACCTTATAACATTTAAAACCATTTTTCGTAATATCCTTCTTGCACTACCCTTCTCTAAATTTTAGTTCACTTGAATCTCTCACTATTTTCCTCATTTTTCCTATTTACATAATTTAAAATTCTGTTAACATTACCTATTTTATTAACAACAAATGATTTTATTAGCGAAGGTTTTCTACATTCCATTGAATATAATTGAAATTGCATTGATTTGATAGTACAATACAAACATATCACACTTCTCAATATCTGAAAATATCATTATTATTCAAAATTCCGTTTTTTTCATATTACTCACAAAGTTGGCCATGGATCTCAAATTTGTTTTCAAGAGCATAAAGGTCTCAAAAAATGTAATAAAAAAATATATAAGAGTTTTTGACGTGCGACGTACATTAGGCGAGATTCATAGGAGTGGCCCTCTTATAGTAGACAACCCTGTATATAAGAAATTTTCTACATATTTTTTTAATGGAAATGCAAGACATTTTTATAACACATTATTTAGTGTGTAAATACACAGAATATGTTTCTATTTTTGACTCATAGTCACCACTAAAATCATGATTTTCGAAGAAAACTAAAAAATGTGTCATCATGTAATGTCATGACACATCAAAAAACCGTGATGTTTATTTTCAGACATACATAAATGTTTCTTAAATATTAGACAGTTTTTTAAAAGGTTGTACACAGCATCACAAAGTAGGAGGTCCGAAAGATAAGACCATGGTATTCATAATTATGTTTTTGGGGTCGCTGAATCCGAATCCGGAGTCTGTTTGACCCGATCAGGTCTGCTAAATACTTTTAAGTTTTAAATTCGAAAAATTCAAACATTTATACAAATTAAAATTTGAGTAACAAATAAAATTAAAGAAAGAAAGCTTTAACTCTGAACCCGTGACTCTCTAGTTAATTGTTTTGACATGACAAAATTCTAGTATCAATAAGCCTAATTAAGTAAGCTTTAAACCAATGTGTCCGTTAATGCTTCATGTATGTGAATTTATACAGTGAGTCCGTGTCGATTGGGATTCTTGAGAACAGTTTTTCAAGGAAAGCGTTGTTTTTATGAATCCCATGAAATCATTGATCCTCAATTTATTTGAATTGTTTGTATTAATTCTGTTCAAGGAACAACAAAAGGTTTGGCAGTCGAATTAAGGGACACTCTGTACAAATAAAAAAACATAGCAGCATTACGACATATGTATTCTCAGCATAAATTAAAATTAAAGTACACTGTACAGATTGCTCATTTCTTTTCAATATTTATTTAGTATTCTGAAAAACATAATAATGAGAAGATGACATGATGACTATAAAATGTCTCAATTTGCGTTCGTTTATTCTTCGTCATCTCCAAATATTTCTAAATCCCCACTTGCTTCAATGTCGTCAGTTTCAGATTGGGTGATTTTAAATGTAGTGTTTGCTGGTCTTACTATTGGGATCTCACTTCTGTTTATTAATTTTGTCGTAGCAGAGGCAGTAACTTTACCTTTCGCCCTTTCGTTTTCATCTTCATCGTCTCCAAATATTTCTAAATCCCCACTTGCTTCAAAGTCGTCAGTTTCAGCTTGAATGATTTTAACTGTAGCATTTTCTTGACTTATTATTGAAGTCTCACTCCTATTTATTAATTTTGTCGTAGTAGAAACAGTAACTTTACCTTCCTCCATTCCGTTTTCATCTTCATCGTCTCCAATTATTTCAAAATCGCCGCTCGCTTCAGAGTCGTCACTTTTTGCACTTACTGTTGTACCTCCAAGTGGTTGAGACTGATTGGTATTGCTGGTACCCTCCGTTGAACGCTTTGTACTTGCTCGTTGGGTTGTAATGGTAATATGTTTAACCTTTTCCATATCTTCATCATCACCAGTTATTTCTAAATCTCCACTTGCCTCGAAGTCATCGGATTCAGTAGAAAGTGCTGTTGATCCTTTCATTGGTTCAGCTTGAGTCACAGTTGTATATTTGCTAATGTTTACCTGTTCTGTTGTCAACGTAAACATCGTTGCTTGTGTCGTAGAAGACGTAGTAATTTTATTTTCCTCCTCTTTTTTTTCGCTTCCATGAGCCTCGACTACCTCTAAATCGGTATTTAATTCTGTGTGTGGTTGAGGTTGAGTGGTGTTGAGAGGTACTTCTATAGAATTATTTCTTCTTGTTGCTTGATAGACTGTTGTCACTGTCGCAGTTTCGTTATTTCTTAATAATTCTGTCATATGAGTCTTTTCGATTTCTTCGTCATCTTCAATTAAATTTCTTGTTGATTCCCTCAGTGACTGAACTCGAGTAAAAGTTGTGGTATTACTCGTTGATTGTGTCGTAGAAGATGTAGTAATTATATTTTCCTCCTCTTTTTTTTCGCTTCCTTCTCCACCGACTATTTCTAAATCGCTATTTGATTCCGTGAGTGGTTGAGATTGAGTGGTGTTGAGAGTTACTTCTGTAGAATAATTTCTTCTTGTTGTTTGATAGATTGGTGTCCCTGTTGCAGTGTAGTTATTTCTTAATAATACTGTTATATTAGTATTTTCAGTTTCTGCATCATCTTCAACTAAATGTCTTGTTGATTCTGTCAGTGATTGAGTCTGAGTAGTTACCATTGTAATATCCGTTACTTTCTTCCTACTGTCAATCTGTTGAGGAGTGGTTAACTTAAAAGTTGTATTGCTTATTAATTTTTGTATAGTCGTAGAAATATCATTTATCCCTTCTTTTCTTTCATCTCCATCATATTCTGTTATTTCTAAAACAACAGTTGTTTCGAAGTCATCAGTTTCAGTAATGAAATTTGTTGATCCAACATGAGGCTGAGGCTGAGTGGTTCTGACCGTAATATCTATTGAGTCATTGCTAATTTTTGATTGCGGAGCTGCTGTTGATGTAGAAGCTGTAGCGTTAATTATTAATTTCGGTGAATTATCCTCTTCCTCTTTCCTCTGGTCCTCGTCATCTTCAGTTGTCACTAAATCTCCACTGGCCTCGAAGTCATTATTTTTTGTGCTTAGTTCTCTTGGTAGCGTCTGAGACAAAGTGGTTCTGATGGTAGCTTCTATCAAATCTTTCGTCTGCTGCAATGTGGAAGTTGTAGAATTAACGTCGTCTTCCAACTCTTTCCTTCCATCTTCATCATCATCATAAATTACCTCTAGGTCACCACTTGCCTCAAAGTCCTCTGTTAATGTGGAATTTTCTGTTAAAATTCTATTTGTAGTTAACTTTAGAGTCGATGTTGAATTGGCAGGTTCTGTTGAACTTTTGATGGTAGTAGCATACGTGATCGTTCCTGATGTTGTTAATATCGAAGGCTTCGTTGCACTTTCACTAAAAGTCGCTTCTGTGGTTCTCCTTGTTGTTGTTGTGAATGGTTCCGTTAAACTTCCAATTATTTCTTGTGATGTTGTAGTAATGGGTTCTTGGAAATGTTTGATACTGGTTATTTCGAATTCTGCCGATGTTGTAGGTTCCGTTCTAGTTATACTCGGTAATTCCTCCATTTCTTCTAACGTAGTTGTGGTAGTAACCGAAATATAATTTGGAATCGTTTCACTTACTACCGTTGCTTTAGTACTTTCAGTAGAAATTTTGCTGATGGTTGTTTTTGTCACTGAAGATTCTGATAAACTATTGTTAGATATATTGTCATCTGCCGTCGTTTTTGTGAATAGTGCTGGCTCAGTGAAAGTTTTTCCAAATACATCTTTTACTGGCTGACATACTTTATGATTGTAGCAACTAACAAAACAGCACTTGTAATTGTCAGGGCAGTCATCATCTTGGAGGCATTCCATTGATTTGGTAAAAGCTGCCGGCAAAGGTGTATCACAAGTTACAATAATGTCACATTGCCCTGGTCTTATTTCGAAATTATTCGATGGCAGTTTTGGAGTTTGGGGGATATTTTTGGAAGGTTGACATATTTTATGTCTGAAACATCTATGACTGCAGCACATAAAATTATCTGGGCAGTCATCAATGTCTCTACACCTAAAGTGCAGGGTTTGTTCTATGTTGTAGGGATAATCACAATAGTATAAATCCCAATCACATTGCCAGTCTATTTTATAGGTAAAGCACACCGACAGCAAGAGTAATAGACCCAGAACCACCCTTGGTATTGTGTTAATCTAAAAATATAAAATTTATTAGTGTGTTAACAAAGGACAATTTATACAGGCTACTATATTATAATATATCTGCTATGAGATACAAAATACGTTCAATTAAATGTTGGAAGGCATAAAAATATTGCATTTTAAAATTATATACAAATATACAGAGTTATAATGAAACTATTGCGCTCAAAAAATTAATTTTTTTAAATACGTATATTCCCTATACAACTTTATATTTAGAATTCACCACAACATTCTGCGTATTGCATTTTGTCAAATTATTCAAAGTCCTTTAATTTTTTAGAACACACCTTAAAATTTTTAATAATCACCGGCATACAAAAAAAAACTTAAGTCCGAGGATATAGACTCCGGTAGTGCTATTCATTTTGATGCTAATAATGATAAAATACTTTTCAACATTTAAGAGCAACAGGATCAACTTCATTGCAATCGCGAGCAGACGGTATTTTTGCACCCCTTCAAAATGATAGAGGAACACAATATCTTGCAGCACTTTGATGCTTTCCAGTAGCACGCGGAGATGTTCGTTACAATTAGGATATTCGCAGAGCACTGTGACTTTGTGACTTTGAAAGCAGATGGTCGCCACACATATCATTTGAATGATTTAGACTGAAGAGCAACAGCACACCAGCAGAGTGCCGTGCAACTGCACAATCTGTCGTCCGTAGATGCGAACTTTGCAATGAAAATGATGGCGGTCATTTTGAGCAGTTTTTATGAATTTTTGAAAATTAGCTGCTGCTTGACGACGCATTTTCTTCTTTTTCTTTTTCTATTTTTTTGCTAATAAAGTTGTTGTTGTCGAATTTTTTTTATTACTAATGTGTTTGCCAAAAACAGCTTGTAACTGAGATTGTGCCCGATTATCTTTGACCTGATTTTTATGGAAACACTATTTAAAATTACGAAAATTTCACAAGAAACCTTTTCCCTTAGCGAAGCATAAAAGATTGAATATTTTGAAAATTAAAATAAAAGTTTTATTAAACTATGAGACAAAAATTAGTTTCACAGAGCCCCCGTAAGTACGCTGCTGATTAATAATTTTAAAAACTTTTTAATTTTGAAACAACTACTTGATGCAGCTTAATTTGGCATTCAAATTCCACATTTATCTTAAATGATGTTAGAAACTGTTAAACGCTGTAGCGCTCTTAGAAAACATTTTCGGATACATATTTATATGAACTTTTTTTGCTTAAAATAAAATTTCCTATGAATGGTTTACGTATGACGGTTTAACCCCGACTCATCCAGTATATTTAGGGTGTAAAGAGGCCCAAAAATCACTCAATTTAGTTAGCAAAAGGAATCTTCGCTTTGCTCAGACTAACGGTTTTGTTATCTTACCCTTTGGTTTTCAAATGATCTGGAAAGATGATGACTTTTTAATTTTTTTTTCGGCTTTAGTTTCTGGTATGTCCCATTTCAGACGAAAATTTCTTTTCTGGCTAAATTGAGCAATTTTTGGGTCCACTTTCACCTTAAATATAGATTTTACAAGATACTGGCCACTCGTATAAATTCTAACTACGATATTATTTTCACTTCATCAACATACGTCGGAAATGATATGTCATATTTTTGAGTTTGAACTTTTTTGTGTGCCTGATATTCTGTTAACTAAAATGGCCAAACTTTGACTAAGAGTATGTTTTACCGATTATTAGCACCAAAATAAGTAGCACACCGGAGTCTACATCTTCGCATTAGAGTTTTTTTTGTGTGCCAGGGTAATTTTCATATTCGAAACTGTAAAGATATCCATTATAGATATTATTTTATGCAAGGTGTTTTCTAGAGTCACGCCAACTGTACAAATTCCAATAGACATTTTTTCTATAAAAAATTAATTTATAAATATTTGCAACTTTCATAAATCGCAGCAAATATACATATTCTTAACTAATCTGAGACGTAAGAAACCTAGTAATTCAGTAATTCTTATCTTTCTGTATAAGCAATAACAATACATTTTGCTGACTAAATCGATATAGGTATCTTCGAACAAGCCGATTTTCTGTATGGTTTGCAGCATTGTCCTGACTTAGCTATTTTGGCTATACATTTATGATATTCAATATTTAATTCGTAATAAGTAATATATAGTAGTATAGTAATAATATTTGAAACGAATCCCAATGTTCATAATTATTTAATGATAATATGATAATTTATTTAATTGTAATTTTTTTATAAAAAAAATAATAATAAATATTCACACGAAATTTGTTATTACTAAATTAGTTTCAATGCTTTTTAAGAATATGCAATTTTCTAAAGGGAGAGTTAAAAATGGATTATAGTAGAATTTACATATCTTTCTGAGGTAATCTTGGTTATTTTGAAATATCTTTATATTATAACTGATAGTTGTGTAGTATACAAACATATTTCTCATAATATTCATAATTAACATAAAATATGTTAGCTAATTAATTATCTTTAATTATATTAATCAATTATATATTTATTGTTATCTATTACAGTGCACTAAGAGAATATTAATTAATATCTACAATATATTATTTGTATATTAAGTTGTTTAACTGCAATTTATTTAGCTTATCAAGTTTTAGGCGGATTACTGTTTGTAGATGCTTTTTATAATGTGTAACTTTGTCTTACCTGAATCATTGCACTTTCGTGTTAGAACTAACTGACGATTCACCTTGCACTTACTGTCACATTTTGTTCATATTAACATTGAAAACTCAATAGAATTATCGTCGTAGATAAAATAATTTTTCAGTATTTCCTTATATTACACAAATTAAATGACTATACAATTTTATATCTATGTATTATACATAGATCACTGTAGGTAATGAACTGGGATTCCCTGCCCTAATATGTACAGGGTGATTGATGTATATTGGAAAACGCGTATTTCTTGAAAACGACTGAAGATAATTAAATTATGAAAACCGTGCCATATTTTCAGTTGCTGTCACTCAAATGTAATATAAAAAATATTTAGTTGTATATTCACATTATCTGGTGGCGCTCTTCTCACATACTCCTGTTTTGATACCTCTGGTAATATCTTCCAGCTTAGCGATTCTTTTCCTGTTATGCTGTTTTTGAGGTAATTTTTATGAAATTCTCGGCCTTGGTATATGAAAAACAGATGGAGTTCCTCGACCTTTTACTTCAACATGAAATTATTTGGAAAAACGAATAAATTTATTATTAGTTTGCAAACATCATTGTTGATCTGCACCATTTTGTACAAAATCTTTGCAAGTTGTGACAAAAATTTTATTAATTTTGTTCATTTTACTGAATAACTTTAGACATGTTCATTTTGAAGAAATAAAGTTCGAATAGACACTTCTCTAACTCCATCCATTTACTTATCTTACCAGAACGCCATTAAGCGAAATAAGCATATAATTTATTATACGGTCATTTCATTTATATATTTTTTTATTTTACATTTGAATGACAGCTATGGAAAATATAACACTGTTTTCAGAAATTATTTTTCTTCAATAGTTAAGTAAATAATTTTGCTAAGATATATTGTTCTGTCAAAAAGTATCCGGAATTTGTTAATAAAACACAATATATTCAATTAATCATCAACATTTATTTTGTCTTCTTGAAAATAAGCTCCATTTAAAGCAATACACTTGTTCCAACAAACAACCCAGTCGTTAAAACATATTTTAAGCATATATTCCGGTTTAGACCTCAACTCTTTAAACGATTTTTGTCTTATGGCATTGCTTCTGTCGAAGTGGGAGTTTGGAAACGACGAAAAAGTCAGCAGCTAGATGACATTCGATGAGTTTTTGGTCAAAAATTCATTCACAATAATTATCGCTTTGTTTGATGATGCATTATCGTGGTACGAAATACAAGAATTGTACTTTCATAAATATGTTTTTTTTGCTCTCTCTCTCTCTTTCAAATGCCTCATATCGTCCAGATAATATTCTTTGTTGACTGTTTCTCCATTCGGAAGGAATTCTGTGTAGACAATATCATTATAGTCAAAGAAAACAGTCAATATGACTTTGATTTTTAATCGACTTTGACATGTTTCTTTGGTTTCGACTCTTTAGAAAAGCGCAATTCCGAAGCTTGTTCGCTCGTTTGCATGTCAAACTCGCAAACCCATTTCTCGTCCTCCATTGTGATGAGTTTCATGGATGTAGAATCTAAATAAGCTCGTTCAAGCATGCCTTCAGCAACGTGTTTGCGATGTTCTTTTTGAAGAACATTAAGTTCTTTTGGAACCTGCCGTGCTACAACGCGTTTCATATCCAAAACATCAACGAAAATAGTGTCAACTGATTCTTGAGATGTGTTTACTTCATATGCCAGTTTTCTCAAACTATAGCGACACTTTGCAAGCACCATTTCCTTCACTTTATCGATATTTTCTTCAGTTGAAAACGTTGAAAAACAACCAGAACGAGATAAATCATCAACCATTTCTCGATTATGTTTGAATGTCTTGTACCATTCGTATGCTTGAGTTTTACCGTACGTCTTTCCCAACATTTTCAACGATTCAGCACAAGAAATTCCGTTAATAGCACAAAATTTTAGGCAAACTCTTTGTTTGATAACATTATCCAAATCGCGGAACACAACTTTAGGTGGATCAACAAAATTAACAGCTATAAACAACTTGGCAGATCGCGGTCAAACTTCGCGTCAGAGTAGAGTACAGTGCTACCAACATTCCAACAAAAAAGAAATTTAAATCTACTTTACGTAAAATTTTTAAATGACATTCCGGATAGTTCTTTCATAGAAATTAAATCAATCGCCCTGTATATAGGCTGGGTTAATTTTGACACTGTTGGGGATTTCTCTGATTCTCCGACAAAAAATAGCTGATTCGTCCTACTCCACTTTTAAAAAAAGAAGATCAAAATGTCATTGTAATGTCTAGATTTGCTTAAAAGATAAATAGTGTGTTTCATTTTCGACCATGTTTTATGATGTCCTAACTTATCGTTTGTGATTTTTTTAAATTTTCTTAATTGGACTTTTACTAAGTTTCTTTTCCGAAAAATCAGGGTCGTCGTTAACTATATTTTTCCATGTTCAGATTTTTCTATAATAACTCATCATATTTTAATGTCTAAAGGAAAATCGGACATATCTATTGTTGTAAAAACGCCTCTCTTCTTCAAAAAACATTTTTGGTTTAAAAATTTAAAAAACTCACAAAACTAAAAATGTATTATACTTATATTTTTTATAAAACTAAACAAACGAAACTAATGACAAAAAAAGTTTTTTACATTTTTAGGTTTTGCCGAGTAGATGTTTGAAAATTATTTACCCAAAATATTCAAATGCTCATATCTTCTAGAGGGGTTGAAATAAAAATTTTAAAAAATGCATGAGAGCTACCCAAATGGGTACTAAATAATACCAAAGAATCAGGTCACGACCTCATTGATTTGGCATGGAATGCCCCATATATACATGATAATTACCATTTTGTCCTGCATTTCTTCCATGCTCATCTCTTTCTGTGATTATCAACAACAGTTAAAATTTTTTTTGACCGATAAAAACATTCTTAAACATGCTAAAGAGGAATTCCCCTAGCATATGCCATATCGTTGTCTGGATTCAACTAGAGCCTGGATATTTGAAGAATTGATTCTAAACACAACTGGTTTCAACGTTCTAACAGACTGAATTTAGTTTTGAAATTAGTTGTTCACAATGTGGTTTCTAGCTGAGGCATCTACTCATTAATACTCCTCGAAATTTGACCTTATCTCACAAAATTTTCTCTTGTTTTAAAAGTTGTTTATAAAAATAGTATCAATTATACAAAATATCCAACATGTTATTACAATTTTACTCCCGTAAAGAATCCTATTTATTAGAAAAAATCAGAGATTGACCATCTGTGCACAATGCTACGAAGCCATCAAGGATCAAATTGCTAATTTCATTCGTTTACAACATAAATGAGAGATTGGGGTTCATAACTGATCCCTGCGGTACACCCACACTAATTACAGAATTCTAAGAATTAACCCTATACTACTATTAAACTACGTTTCCATACATTATGCTTCAAAGACTAACGTACCTATTGTATTTTGGATTGCATAAACGTGAAGCTATTAAAGTAATATCAACTGTTTTTGAGACATTGCCAGTTGAGAATAACTCTTCTGAAATTTTTGGCTTATTCGAACATTTTTCTATAGGATAGACTTAAGTATCTAAAGTTATTTTGCAGAATAAACAAAATCTATGTAACAATTTAATATACAAATTTTGAGTAAATTCTTGTAAGTTTGCAAGCTGTTACATAAACTTTATTCATTCTGCAAAATTTCTTTAGACACGTTTATTCTGAGGAAACAAGTTCAAGTAAACAATTCTTCTAACCCCATTCGTTTTTCGTATGTCAAGGCCGAAAATTTCTGGAAAATGATTTTTAATGTTAAGCTGAAAAAATATAAAATAAATAATAGAAAAGAATCTAACAAACAAAAGTTCTTTCTAGCATCAGCAAAACAGTGGTATGGTGAATATACAAATAGACCTGAACCCAACGATCATTTTGCAAAAAAGTTTCAGATAAAAGTTATAGGATATCAAGAAACCAATGCTTGATGGTAACCTTGGATATGACCTTGAGCTTAAACTTAAACCGAGTCTAATTTGAAAAATATTAAATTTATTTTATGGCAACAGTCGAAAAATTTATCCTATATAAGATCAAACTAATTTTTCTCTGAATAACTGGATAAAAACGTTTCAATCAAAATTTGTAAGATTTTGAATGACAATTAGTTTAGATGGTAACCTTGGATTTGACATCCACCACAAACTGCAAGGTCAAACTAAGCTCAAATGGAATACGCTGTTTTTTATGCTAGCAACCGACACTACGTCAAATTTTCTTTCTAAATTTAGGATCAAAGAATTTTTTTAGGATGTCCTTGCAAGTTTTGAAAATCAAACTAAATTTTCACAGAAAATGATGGACATGAAAATAATACAATTTTATTCTACTAAAACTGTTAGTTCAATCTTGACAACAATTTTGAAAGGTAACACTTTGTTAGGTTAATAATAAAAATTTGATGATAGGGTTATTCTTTAGACTGATATCTAGTCAGCTGTTAGGTAGGATCTAAGGACACTATCTAATTTGCCAGTCAAAATCTTACAAATTTTGCTTAAAATATTTCTGTCGAGTTATTAAAAAAATGAGTTTGACCTCTAATTGACCTGCTTAGACATATAGGAATTTTTCTTTAGTCTCCATATTCGGTTGCAAAATTTTGCTCCATATCGATTGCTAATATAATAAATAGGGTATTCCATTTAATATTTGCGAGCTGACCTTGATTTGCCCTTGAAACTTTATTTCTATCATTAATAATTAATTCCTGACTCTTAAAAGCATTAATAACAAATTTAAATTCGTATCCACTTCTTTATTTGATGAAACAACTTATTTACTTTCTTAATATATCTATATCTATGTACGTTTATTACTTTCAACATAATGTAACATTGTAATTGAAGTATTAATTATTTTAATTTTCATGAAAATTAACGACATAGATTATAATTTTTTTGTTGTTCTGCTGTGAGCGAATTGAAATTAATGTCTATTTAATTATCACCAGTTTCATCCTCGTAATCATCATATTCTTCATATTCATACGCGTCATTCTCTGTAGTGGTGTCATTGTCGTAGTCATAGAATTTTTCAACGTAATTTGGATCAATTGCATTAGTATCTAAAGTAGTCCGTATCGGGTCAATTGTTACTTTTCGCAGGGAGATTTTAGCGACTGTGGTATTTAATTCAGCTCCTGTAGTTTCTTCTACAACAATTTCTGTTACTTGTTCAGTTGTCAGGTTATTTTCAATTGTAAGTGTTTCTACGTCATATTCGGTTGTAGTTTCTGCGTTATCAGAGTCTTCATAAGTATAAACTTCCTCCTCTGCTTCTTCCTCTGTTACTGTTGTAGCTTCTGTAGTAGTTGTTGAAGTCGTACTTTCTATGGTTTCTTCGTCTTCTTTTTCCGTAGTTGTTGTAAAATAAGATCTTACTTCAGTTAACTCTTCTGGATTAATTTCAGTCGTAATTTCATTCGTTTGTTGTGTTTCAGTTTTCTCTGCAGGCACTATCTTCTCTGGTGTCTTTTTTCCATTCGCAACTATTTTAGAACAGATTTTATGCACAAAGCAATTCTGTTGACAGCATTTAAAGTTACCTGGACACTGGCTATCTTGGTTGCATTTAAAACGATAAGTCATCGAATAATGGTATGGAACTTGGCAGTCGTACGTCCACTTGTCACACTGACCTGGACGCTCATAGTTATAGTTTTTCTTGTTTCTATCGGAAATATTAGATGAATTAGATGATTCAGCTTTGATGCAAACTTTATGAAGGAAGCATTTTTGAGAGCAACATTTGTAGCTTGACGGGCAGTTATCATCACTTGAACATTCAAATTGAAACGTCAGAGCTTTTGCGTAAGGTGTACTGCAAGTAAAACCTCCATCGCCACAGTAACCTAAAAATGATTATACTTTGTTACAAAGGCTAGTGATATAAAAAATAGTCGTATTTTTAAAATGGGTATTACCAGAAAATTTAAAACAGTAAGAAATTATTTTCGAATGGACCTAAGATGTAATTAAAAAACACAGACAAAATAACTACCGCTCCAGACAGCGCCTGGAATAGAACAGCAGTTTTAAATTTCCGAATTGCCGATAGAGTACACCACCAGCATAATTTTAGAAAAATTCAGATGCAGCGGCTGGCATTCCTAGACAATGCTTACGTGTATCCTAGCAACGCATAAGCAACAGTTGGGTAATGTTGTCACGCGTACGTAAGGATTTGTTTTGTACACTTTTTTTCAATGTCTATTTTTTTGTATTACTGTATTTACTTACTTAAATGTATGATGTAAAAATGAGAAATGTTTTAAAGAATGGACGAATACCTATGTAGTCAACTTCAGGCCATCGGATATTCTACAGCAGTGTCACAGTTAAGTTATTTAATAATAATTTTGTTAATTAGCTACTATTTTCACTTTTTGGTATTGAAATACTGCAGAAAATATATTTCCAAATAAACAAAATTCGTAATGATATTTTAAACAGCTTATATAATTTTTATAATACTTGATGGTGATGATAAATTTATTTAATATGCAAGGTGGGTATTAGTAAGTTGCGGAATGTAGCTACAGGTTTTTTTGTGTATTTTGACATCCACTTATGTTTAATAATTGAAGAACTTTTGCACATTATTGTTATTTGAATAATACAGTTTAATTATGTTTTATTTTTCGAAATCGGAATAACCCATTTGAATTTTTTTTTAAATTAAAATGGGTTATTCTAATAATGATAAATTCCATGTANAAAACTACCTAACTATGTATTTTATAATTAACCTTTATACTAAAGAGAATACCTTATAATAAACGAAATAACATTAAAATATCTACCAACTTTTACAAATTTTCCACATGTCCATTATTGTGAATGACTCAGTTGAAAATATGCTTTAATGCACTATTTATTGCGTTAAAAATAAATTAAACATTATCAAACATTTCGTCCTGTATTTTGTCTCTCAATACTTGTACATTTTGAGGTCTGTAATAACATATTTTGTTGGAGTGTCTCTACAAAAAATATGTCTAAGGGACTGAGATCGGGGCTGTTATCTGGCCACCTATCATTTCTAATAATATTTTTACAGTGTTCGTTGACGGAATTCTTCCTCCAAAATAAATTTGCCGATATTCCTGTCCAATTCTTGCAGCATTATTATTTTAATAACACAGTCTAATTATGTTGTATTTTTCATTATCAGAATAATCCATTTTTCAAATTAAAATGGGTTATTCTGATAATTATAAATCCCACGTATTTTTAAAGGAAGGTTCGTTTCCGTCATTTTGGTCCGATAGTGTGCAGAAAGACAGAGTTTTATAGTGTGCAAGAGAGATAGAGTGATGGTGTTGTCATAGAGGGCTTCTCTCTCTGTTGTCTTCAGGAGTCTCTGGCTTCTAGCGCTACGCCAGCGTCTTCAAAACACCTAAGGCTCCAGAGAGGGGGCATGGGGTAGAGCGCGGGGCCTTTCTAGCGTTCGTCATTGAGCTATGACGTCACTACGTATGAGTAAAAGAAAAACGTTTTTGCTCGTTACTAGGAAATGGCTGGAAATATAAAAAATCTCCGCTGGTTCTGATTGATGATCGAGGGTAAGTCCGAACCAATAGAATAATGGTTATAATCGAAAAAATAATTGAAAAGATCTCCCCGACCCCCGGGTTCTGGTTGTTGCAGTAACAAGAGGTGTGTGACGCCATACAATAAAAAAGGCCTTATAACTCGGAAACGGTGCGTTGAATCGAAAAAATTATTTAAAAAATCTCTCCAACAACATTGGTTCTGATTGCCCGCTCTGCGTTGAACGCAAAAGGTCCAAAGTCCGTATGCCGAAAAACAAAAAAGTTAGTCAAAAATTATAACAGCAGTAACGAACGATTTATCTTATCTGTAAGGGATCATTGATTCATGATTTTTTTGTTTTTTTTTTAATAATCTTCGTACTCAATCACCCCTTGAGGTTCCAACAATTTTATTAAATAAAATGTTCAAGAAAATTAGATTAGATAAAGGAAATTTTACATTGTTTATTTTTTTTTAACAGCCTGTGTCACAATAATGGGTACTGCCAATGGCATCCATGATATGCATCACTTGCCATATTAATAAATAAATACAGAATATTCAATAAAACATATGTGACATGCTACATTTTTAAACAATCTGTATAATGCAATTTTTAGATATAGGTGTTAATATCGTTTCAAATTGGAAGTCGACACACAAATCTAAAAGCATTAGATAGTTTTTGAATTCTCCCATTTTAAAGCGAATTCATATAAAATAAATAATTAATTAGGTAAATTCATAATTTTAATAATTCTAACTTGATTTATTTTATTTAGCATCATTTAATGTAAACGTCATTTCAACGTCAAACAAAAGATAAATTTCAATTTCAAAAAATTACATAGTTAAATGCGTTAAATTTATATGTATGCCCAATTATTACATGGCAATACTGCCGTACTTCGAAGCCGCTGCCACCTATTACCAAGTAGAAGAGTTACCACGCTAAATTTTATTGTTGGATGCCAGCTCAAATGAGCCTGCATCCTTTTTGGGTTGCCAATTTCCAGCATTTAACGCGCTGTCTGGAGCGATAGCTCTGTGCCAATAAAATAGTTTTCGAATAGGTGTTGGAAGATTATTGTCTGTTGCTGCAAAAAATAATAAAAAGTAAATAGTACAGTTTTCCTGCTATTTCATGTTTTGTTTTTATTAATTGACGTTTCTATTCTAAAGTACCAAATATCTCCTAAACTAAAAATTACAACCATTTACACCGTTCATTCAAGCACAAAAAACCTTATAAACTTATATTTCATATAGAAAATTAGTAATTGCGGATGTTAAAAACTTTTGTATCAAGGGTAAGTTTTTTAGATGAAGAAATGTAAAACTTTTAGAAATTCTTTTAATAAAAGGAACAGATCATTTCCATTTTTAAGTTGCTAAGGATTCTGAATATGTTCAGAATGACCAAATGTTATCCACCCTGGATAACGCACTTTGAACAAAATATTTTCTGAGACTTCCAGACCTTCCAGAGAGAATGAAAAAAATTTGCAGTTGCAATTTTCAGTTTGCATTTTAAGCACCTCTATTTATCAAATATTTTTTTTGTATTTTCTAAGGAAAATATTTAACAATTTGTGACTATTTAAAAAATTATGTATTGCTCTATAAAATTTGCAACATTTTTATTTACATTTAGGTTTAGAAAAACAATTCTATGAATTTATATTTGTCTCTATACTGACAGGGACAACCTGAATAAACTGGAGGATTTTTGCTGACATTATTTTAATCAGTTTGAGAAATAGTTTTGAGAAATATATGGAATTTTGAAAAATATGTTTTATTATTAGCTCCGTATTTTTATTTTATTTCAGATATTGAGCTAATTCAAATGTGGAATACAAATAGCACCAAATCTATAAGAATAATATTTCAGATCAGATTATTGAAAACATTGTTAAGGGGAAAAACATTAGTTCCATTTATAATGTGAAAGAAGTAATAGGTAGAAATAAGGCACCACAAAAAAATTGACATATTTTTCAATGGTTTTAGTATTAGCACAAACAAAATAGCTATAAGCTATATTGTCTGTGGTATTCGATTTACTTCTATATCGAAATTTAAATTAAATTAAATAAATAAATATTAGAATTTGGAAAATAATGCCCATATTTTTATAAAGCCTATTTGAATAATACATATTTTTGAAATTATGTATGATCTAGACTAAATTAATTTAATAACAGTCCATTGACAAACGTATTACGTAGGCTGTACAGATACACGCTGTGTAATCGAAATGTCTTAGTAACAAATTTATTTTTTAGTAACATAACACCTAGCAATAGCACCTGATAAAAAAAAATCGAGTACAAATGAAATTTTATAAAATTTACCCGGATATTCTATAAAATCTATAACATTCTCTAAAAATTTTAGGTTTTTCAGATTGGTATATAGGTCCCCGTTAAGAGCTGTTCTGAAACAAAAATCATCAGACATGCAATCTGAAGAACCTTTTAAGTCTAGTTGCAAAATATTTTTTAAGCTAGGTTTTATTTATTTAGTTAAAAACACTAACTATCTATTGTTTATTTTGTTATTTTCAATGAAATATTATATTTACCTTATCGGCATCCCGATCTCCAACGTATTAATTTTAAAATACGTTATTTAACTCACTGAGGTTTATGCTAGCAAAATACATGTAGAAAAATATTTTAAGAAATACTTCAGTTTTTTAAATCTGCAATCAGTAGTTGATTTATTTTTTTTTGTTAATAAATTAATAAAACCGGTAGTACTCATTTAAAAAAAAACATGAGAATTAATCTAGGATGTAGGTCAGATTGATAAACAGTATTATGTGGATAATAAAATTAACTACCTATTGCCAGTCTTGACCTTCTTCTGGTGTGACTTCGAGGAGGTGGTATTAGTTTGTATCCTCCTGGGATATTGTCCAACGATGAACTTACAAACAATTGATGTGTTGCAGGATTATAAAAGTAATAACAAATTACTGGGTTTATGACTGCAAGTATTAAAACGTAGATATACTCCATTTTCTGGAAAGAAGGTTAATTTTTTGTTTTAGCTAAACAAAGCTCTGAAATTAAAAATAAAGGAGTTTGTTGAAGAACATTTTTACAGAATCAAGTTTAACAATTCGTAACAAAAAATAAATTTAAAAAAATTAAATAGGTAGGTATGCTAAATATACTTTAATGGTTTTTAAATGCTGCATTGTATTTCCCAAACATTATACGGTGTATAATATAATTCGGTTGAGAAACTTCTCTCAAATTCAAAATTGGTTCCTCATCTCAATAAACATGAACAGTGTTAGGTACCTCATTGACTATAACAGATTGTCTATTACTTTTAAGCCTTCAAAATATGTTCAGAATATAATCGAACTTTTTTAAGATATATTTAGTGATATGCAGCACTGCGTTGCACATAATCAGCTTTGCAACCACATGTTCTTGGATTGTTAATACCTCATTTAAATTTCGTGATATTGTAACAAAAGCCGGGACGCGCAGTCAGTTATTTATTAGTTCTCGGAAGGATGGGTCAAAAAGTAAGATATTTCTGTCGACACAAATTGTCGGAGGGATAATGGTTTTCAAGTAGTAGGTCGCCAAGATCGTCCTTCGGAGAAATTTGCCAATATTTTTAACGATTTCACTTAGACTGTCGAGGCCATGTGTTAAGCGTCTGGGAGGCGCCGCGTAGAACCCCATCTTTTAAGAACGCGTGAAACCGCGGGAAGAGCGTAGAGATTCCAAGTAGAATTCAAATTAAATTGTGAATTAGATAATGATTGAAAAAGAAAAGTATATTAGTAATCTGTTTTTTTTGACGGATTTTTTCAAGCTATCAGAGTAGATTAAATGAGATCGACTAATCCGTCCCGTAATTGCTACGCGGAGTCATAGGGGAAGGTTAGGGTTACTAGTAAGTCATATAATTATTGTTATAAATGTAAATTCACTGGATTACATTTCACGTAAGCAATGAAAGGGTAAGTGCTTGGAATTGATTCTCTGCACATACAACATTTCTAAGTTCCCACGTGTTAATTAAAGTATAACGATAATTAAATAAACTCCCTTTCGAGAATTAAATAGTAACTCTTTCGAGAATTAAATAGTAACTCTTTCGAGCATTAAATAGATAATTAATAAAAGTAGATAATTAAAGAAATAACCCCTCAGGTTACAATATTGTTATTTGAGTGCAACGTGTTTAAGTGGTAGTGACGATTTTGGAAATGTGCGGTTTTCTGAGACAACGATGCAACGTAAAATTTTGGGTGGAACTGGGGAAAATTTTCACGGAAACGTTTCAACTTTTGAAACAAGCTTACGGAGATGATGCTCTGGGTAGTACGCAATGTTACGAATGGTTTTTTTCACGATTTAAAAGTGGTTGTCAGTCAATTGAAGACGATCCTCGACCAGAAAGGCCTTCAAGACCTCAACTGATAACTCCCACAAACATAAAGTCAGAGATCTGGCGCCGATTGACTGTCGGAGAAATTGCAGAAGACGTTAGCATCTCAATTGGGCTATGTCGTGAAACTGACAGAAAAATTGAACATGCATCGAGATGCAGCACAATTTGTTCCTCGTTTGATGACGGAAAAAACAGAAAGAAAGTTATGCGAAATTCCGATGACGATGAAACATTGATTCAAAAGATCATAACGGGAGACCATAGCTGTTTACGGCTACGACATTGAGGCAAAAGTTCTGTCATCACAATGGATTCGGAAAGGATCTCCACGCCTCAAAAAAACTCACTGTTTTTGTTTACTTTAATGGAATTGTGCATTTTGAATTCTTGCAACAATGGCTAGGTGAAAAAATCCACAAAAAGAAACCAGAGTTGTGGCGAGACAACTCATTGTTCTTGCATCATGACAAAGCTCCCGCGCACTCAGCTTTGTTAATTGGACAGTTTTGTAAAAAAAAAAATGAGATTAATGTCCTCCCTTTGCCTTCAAACTAGTCAGACCTGTCTGAGCCGTTCTAAAACAGCAAATTTGTCACAGGATTTAAAAGCTATTTTAAATTAAGCTATGTAGGACTGCTTCACGAAATGGACACATACAGCTCGGTTGTTTTCTGAACAGACCTCGTATTAAGTAATAAATAGGTTAAACATTTTTGTATTTTTGTATCGAATAAAGTATATGAGTACATTTTATAATATCAAATATTTGAAAAACAATTCTTTAGGCAACCTAGTAAAATTAAAAATAAAAACATATTTATACCAATGAAATAAAAGAAAATTACATGCAAATTTCTGTTTTAAATAGTAGATATGTATTTTATTATTAGCTTTTGTGTCTTGCATTCTTCTTATTTTAACAATGGGTAAAAATTGCAACAATAAAAAGGTCTTACTATTTTTTACAAGCTTTTATTTAACTTGCCTTGTTAGTATGAGTCAAATCTTGCAACTGAATTTTAAAACAGCCATCCCGACCGCTTGAGCTGAAATTTTGCATACACGTTTAGTTTGGATCATAATGGATGGTTTGCTAAGTGACGTCATTCTAAATCCAATATGGCGGACTCCCAAAGATGGCGGACCAGTTATTTTTTATGCACACCCAAAGTATGGGTATTAAATGAAAGGGTTTGCTGAGAAGAATACGAAAATAAAAGACGTCACTAGAAGCTTGTTTTTGAAAAAAAAATGTTTAAACATGAACATTTACTTATTTTATTATTTTCCCAAGTAGCCTCCTTACAAATGGAATTAATTTAAAAATTAATAGAAATACATATGTACATTTGATATATACTGGGTGTATTTAAATGGAGGGGCACAAATGATACCAGAGATTCCTTGGGTGAAAATAAGTCGATTTAACCTAATATACCTATATCCCAAGTCACATAATAAAAAACATACAGGGTGTCAAACTGAAAAATAATAAATGGTTTTTCCTTAATAATTTCTATAATTTTAGTCAGAAATGTTTCAAATTTTCAACAGAGAGGTTTTTTAGTGATGGGAAAAATAATATAATAACGATTTTTGAGTGTCGAGTACGAGGCGCCCTCTGCAGGCAATGTTATGCATTGAGTATGTAGTAACTTTTTTGCCAACCCCCGTATACAGCTTTTAGTAACAAAATATGAAATATTGAACTATTTCAAACAAAAAAGGTATACTTATTGAAAATGGCTAAAGCCAACCGTTGAGGAGATATTTTTAATTCATAAATTGGTGTTACGGATTTATACCTCCACGAATGCCAGTCGCTTAAACAAATAAAAAATCGAGTAGGTAAATGTCTTCTGATAATGTAAATTGTAATTTTGAAGTATTAATTTAAAGTGTTAATTAATTCTAGTCACTTTTTACCTGCGGCCTAGATAGTAAATTGTTTTTGAATTGAATAAAATAACAAATTATGTATACTAGTGACGAGTATGTCGATATGTTGCAAGTATTTTTTGAATGTACGACTATAATAATTATCATACCAGATATCCAGAATATTTAAGATTTTTAAATGAGCAACTTCCAATATTGCTTGAAGACGTGCCACTATCCGTGAAAACATGTGCTATGCACATGACGGAGCTCCTGCTCATTGTACTTTAGCTGTTAGACAATGGTTAAATTTAAATTTTCCTGGGAGATGGATAGGTCGAGGGAACGATGCACCAGTCAAATGGCCTGCGCGATCACCGGATCTCACACCCATGGACTAGTTTTTATGGGATCACTTAAAAAATGTTGTTTATTCCAACCCTATTGATAGTATGGAGATGCTTTGTCAAAGAATTTTTGCAGCAGCTGAGGAAGTAAAGAATNCCTAACTGATAGTGCGGGAATCAACTACTCTCTAAGTTGCTTTAGGGTAGTTGTTCCTCTTTTTTCAACATTGATTCAGAATAAATTAAATAAACAAAACATAAAAGTATTGAAAGAAATGAAAATGTACAAGGGTTGTTGCTTTTGATTATTTTTTATTTGATTTATATTTTTTATGAATTTAAAAATAAATGGATTCTGATAAAAACTGGTACGGGTAAGATTTTGTATGTCGCAAAATATCAGTAGTACGATTAAGGACTAATACATAATTTTTTAAAATTTGGCCTGAAAAATCGTAACGAGGTTGGATTCCAATTAGTTTGTAGTTTTAAAATATGTGCCCTTTTAAGACAGATTTAAAAAATATTTGAACTTCACGTGTGTTTTACTTAATAGTGATTATAAGACTTTCACGGTCCGTCCTGACTTTTAAAATACGATGTTTTTTCGGGGTGTTAAGCTTTGGCCGATGTAGCAGGTCACCGCCAGTTACAAGATTACATTGCACTTCCAATGCTTGGAAGTATCGGATGCGACAGTTACAGAAGCCATTATGGAAAGTCTGAGAGGGCTACCGTTGTCTGGGAAGCTGGTCCGACCCCATAGAACCTAGCCCGAGAACAACAAGAGTAAGTTAAGTTAAGGTTAAGCCAGAAGGAGTTTAGTCTGGTGGGGTATGCCGATGACCTGGTGATAATAGGAAGGCATAGAGATTTTGAGAAATTGATACATAAAATAAATGAGATAGCGTACTGGATGAAAACTCAAGACCTGGAACTGGTACCCGAAAAGACGGAAACTATATGTTTGAAATTCGCAAGACGGAATCGAGACCGTGATTTTGAATTTATTATCAGGATAATTTAATAATTCAAAAAGTTTTCTAAAAATCCTGTCAAATGAAGTTGAACAATGTTGTTCAATACCAAAAATCTAGGTATGCAAAGGACATCTAACCTCATAGATTCCTACTTGTATACTTACTTATACAGGGTGCTACAAGCAGTTAACCACATATTCTTTGGGTTAAAATAATGGTACTTTTTTATGCCACTTTTCATTTCGTAGCCCCATTTTCAAAATACAGGGTGTCAAAATAAAAATTTAAACACAAAAAGTGTGCCGACTTAAAAATATGTGCTAAAGTTCAAATACATATCTCTACAATCACCGGAGTTATCAATAAACAGGACAGGATTTTTAGAAAACGTTGTGAATTATTAAATTATCCTAATAATAAAATAAAAATCACACAGAAAATTGTCAGAATGCATTCTAATTTTAGAGTAATTTTATATGGTAGCTGTTAAGAGGACAGACTTATAAATGCAAAATATGTTAATTTGTATACATATATTTTCTAATTGGTGGCTATGAAGAAATATTTTTGAAATGACATTTTTTTAATTCTGGGTAGACACGAGTCCGTCAATAAACAAAAACTTGAACAAAGGTTCAGCTTATTTAGTAGATAAAAGTATTAGACATCTATTTATCCAAATCATATACAAAACTGTTGTGATCTCAGCCTATTATTTTTTTAACGTAGGTTTTATTATGTATGATATTCGTACTATTCAATATCTCTTATTTATTTTTTTCATTTGTACTCACCTTCTTCCATAAATATCTTCCTTCACCAGTCACCTACTAAATATGTATGAAAATTACGAAATAGTTATATAGGCCAAATAATTGTTGAAAGTGTAAATATAGAAAGCAAATAAGAGATAGCATGTATGAATATTTTTAAGAAATAAATATTTGCAAGCGTCGATATTTTTGATGAATGACATCGTTGTAGTCTAAATAGCGATAGACTGTATTTAATAAAGCATACATATCTATTGACCTAAATACATTTTATCTGTACCATTAAATTGGTTTAAAATAGAAAATTTAGGTATCCCAATTACAAAAGAACTGTAATTTTGAAAAATTTCTCGAGGTATATCTGGAATATATTTTTATGCCATATTTTTTTTAGAAATAAGTCAGATTTTAGTCCAATCGCATAACCTAATGTGACATAACTTTTGCAATATTTTTTATGAGTATAAAATTTTACTCCCATTTGAATAGAATTAATACCCAAAAGATAGTTTCCCTTAATGTCATTGTATCTAAGATCTAGTCAAAATAATTAACATTGGCTTTTAAAAGAGCTTATCAGTACGAACATTAGTATTTTATCCATTATTCGTATTTAACAATGCATACATATACTTTGCAAAACACAATCTTCAATAGGAATTTTAGGTATCGCTTCCAACTAAGCCTTTCCGTAAAATTCGATTTTATGTCGCAATTTTATTTTGAATATATTCTTTTATGCCACTGTCGATGACTTCTAGCCAGTATGCGTCATCGGTTTTAAACTCTCTCCTCCTGCATGTGGAAGCTTTGTTGGAGATGCTCGTTTAAAACTGTGATCCTTACAGTCCTATGGATTAGGCAACCCAATATATCAAACAATTTCACTTGGTATTTTCCCAGAGGTATTAATACATATCGGCAGGACAGAAAATTTTCCACGCGGTTGACTCAGCGGCGGTAGGTAACAAACAGTGTTGTTGCAACGACATCATCTAAAGTATAATTATATAATATTGGAGATATTTTTCGTGAAAAAGTAATTTAATTAAATTTTGTGGCATTAAGCTTACTATGGACACTCCATTGGCTCATTTTATTTAAGTAATTAACATTACGCAATCATCAGCAATATTTATTGCACAAAGAATCCGCGTAAAGAAGATAGTAAACATTGATATCAGGCACCACGTCATTATTAAAAAGTATAAAGAGCAGTGGCCCTAGGATAGATCCTTGGGGCACACCGTATGCAGCACAAAAGCTTTGCGATTTAAAATCATTCATTCGTCATAATGTTTCCTGTCTACTACATAAGAATAAAATTATGTACTCAAGGATGAGGACAAACCAGCTTGTTTGTTTCAATAGAAGAATAGAGTGGTCTAACTTATCAACAGCTTTAGAGTAATCAGTATAAATTACATATACTTGAATATTATTATCAATATATTGAGTAATAAATTGAGCAAAAAATTGTGTGATACAGAGTAGGTTCGTTACCGTCGACTTATTTTTTATGAATCCATGTTGATGAGCATTAATCAGCCTTTGGATATGACTATATACAGGGTCGGAAAGTCCCCATGGTTCATCGGCCGTTACGTAAGAGCGATAAAGAAAGTCATAGAAATCCGGCCGATAGAGAAAGATGGCTATAATGAAGGCGTCTAATAGTCACCGCCCATTTCGCCATTTTACAAATAAGATCAACTTCTTATTTATGGAAGGGCGAAATGGGCGGTGGCTATTAGACGCCTTCATTATAGCCATTTTTCTCTATCGCACAGATTTCTATGACTTTCTTTATCGCTCTCACGTAACGGCCGATGAACCATGGGGACTTTCCGACCCTGTAGCGAATGGTGTAAGGCAATTTCAAAGACTGGAAAAGTTATTTATAAGTGCAGTAAGTCTATTATTTTGCCATTTTCGCAAAATCTGGGATGATGTAGCTTAAAAGATTTCAGATTTGCATTCAGCACATCAAAATACATAAGAAACTCACTTGATCAAATTCAGAACAAATTTTTTCGAATTTTTTTACCGTCACTAACGTGATTTTCGGTGATTTTTCTCTATTTTTTGCCAATTACTCATAATTTTGGGGGTGTTTGAACTAAATATAGTTCTGTGCAAAACCGTACTTTTCTTATCAACTTCGACGTCACCTGTTACATGAGTGTTGCACAATAATGAAAAAGTATTATTAACGGTCGGTAGAAGGAAGCGCAAAAAATAAAATGCCTAGGTGGGGCAATTCTGGAAGGAAGCCCAGTTAGTCGAAGATAGGGAGATGAAGTGAGGACAGCGCGGAGTGAAAAGTAAAGTGGTCAGTGTAGTGTGAAAAATATAGAAGTAGTGGAAAATTAAGTGTTTAACTGGTAATAGTTAGCAGGTAATATTTTTTAAGTACTTTGTTGTTAATTGTTCTATGTAATCTTATGATTGTGATGGTTATAGATGTTTCATGATAATAATTCTTTGTATGTTTAGCTTCCATTGCTTTATGCTCAAGGGCATATATTTTTCTAAGGTAAAATTGTTATAATTAGTATTAACGATTACTCATTATTTATTTCACGTTAAAATATATATTGTCGTGACTGCCAGACATTACAGTAATGACTCCTTTGTTTCACATCTAACTTGTTTTTGTCATGATTACGTTGTTCGTAAAATATAGATGTTTCATGATAATAATTCTGTATATGTTTAGCCTTCATTGTCTTACGCTCAGGGGCGTATATTTTTCTAAGATAAAATTGTTACAATTATTATTATAGATTGCTCATTATTTATTACATGTTAAAATATGTATATTGTCGTGACTGCCCAGATATTGCATTAACGACTTCTTTGTTTCACATTTAACTTGTTTTATCATGATTAAGTTGTTCTTTGATTTCTTGTGCTCACTTTATGTCATACGTCTATACGAGCCTTGTTGAGTTTACTAACATTTTCGCCCGTGCGGAACGAATCTGGATTAAGCTCGATTGCCTCCCGTATGGGACTCCAGTGTTATGAAGGATCTTCCGAAATCTCAACTATAGCTGGATTGCCTCCCGTATGGGACTCCAGTACCTTCTGGCCCTGCCGGCTAACTAAAACCAAACCTCTTCAGTTTTACTTGGAAGTGTGTATGACTAATATGAGGTAACCGATGCCATTTAGTGACACATTAAATGAGACAGGTCTTATTTATCATTAGCAAAGGATCTTAATTTATGCCTTTGGTTAGCGGTTGTTTTGCATTTATATTTGGGTGGTAAGAGCAACGATCGTGGGTTTCTCTGCCATGCTCTTTCCCCACAGGAGCTCTAGGTGAGCTTGGCACTCTCATTCTATGTTAAATGGTTGTTAACGTTTTTGTTGTTCTTTCTATTTGTCCCATGTTTAATTTGAAGACTGTTGTATGTAAATAATAAAGTTAGGTGTATTTACTCTGCTTTTGTTTTATAAAATTAAACCATACATCCCCTCAAAAAAAGTTAGTAACCAGCGCCTTCCGGTCAATTAAAAATAGATACACACAACGTAGGTATTCCTTATGACGATCACACATATTTCTGGCCACAACTACGTTTACTATTTTTTTTCGATCGAACCCGGGGTTGTTATGCTACAGTTCATATTCGGCTTTAGCACGTCAAAATACATAAAGCCTATTGGGTCAAGACCACTTTTTTGTGTGCCGGTATTTCATAAAATAATAAAAAACCTTACTTGAATATTCTTAAACAAGTAACATGATGTTAAACTATTAAAATCCATTTCCTCTAAAATGTACCATATTTGACAAGACGCCTTCTTCCCCTGTGCCCTTCATATGTAATTAAAAAGTTTTTACTATACTTCACATTAAAAAAAGACAAAGATACATAATAATTAATTTCGTGGAAATTAGTTTAAAAGTTCTTAACTTATTTCTTATGAATTTTACTCTCCCACTGTTTTGCACAAAGATAAAATGAGACAAACACATAACATGTAATACCATATATTTATTATAAGTATATCCATATTTTACAATACAAGTACTACTTACATACTGGTAAATAAACCATAAAATATATTTTCTAGATATTAGTTCCCAAACCTTTAAAGCAATTTTGATAAATAATGTAGAAGCAAAAATCATTTAAATAAGTAAATACCTAATGGCAAGCAAAAATATTACGTTGCAACAATAAAAATATATGAAATTGCAACAAAAAATGATACAATTATAACTAATACACTAATCCAAAAATGAATCACATACATTGACTGCAGTTATATACAGGGCGATCAGTAAATCCCAGTAGTAACTATTAACCACTGGGCCCAGTTAAACTGTGTTGGATATATTTCACCCTGTATCTTTAAAACTTAATACTAATATTGCATCAAACTTTATATATATTTCAATATAAAAAATATTCGGTATATGTACCTAATAAACTATAAATATAGATAACAAAAAAAAACTCTTTTTATACATAAACACCATGAACTCGAAATTTCGTATAGCATAATGTATATTATGTTCCCAAACCTAATTGTTTATGAACTAAAAGACTGTATGTTAACAGTAGATCGGTGGTAAACATATTATATACAAAAAGGAATAGAGTAAATAAAAATATTAAATACGTATTATAATATAAAAAGATCAATCTCCCATGTACATTAAACAAATGTATTTAAAATAATATATTTGAATCACCACAACACAACAACGACAATGACATTAGTATTCCACTATTCAAAACTGTGCAAGGACCTACGCATAAATGCACTATACTTCATATTGGAATAATATTAAACAAAATTAAGAACTAAATTATGTCTTGATCAAGAGTATTTAAAAGTTGGCAGTCCTTTTAATACTCTAGTGAAACCATGTGACTATATACACATTAACGACTACAGGTAAAGCTAAGCAATAACAAATTTTTTATCAACTGACTAGTCTAAAAGATTTAATTTACTGTTAGTTTTTCGGAGTTGCGCCCTCCAGGGGATTATAGTGGCTGGTTCTTCATCTGACTGTTCGTATTCGCTGTCGTGGATTATCTTTTCGTTTTCATCGTTATTGTTGATATCTTCCCTCCTTTTGTCATCTTTTTGCTGATTCTGTTTCGAATTTTCTTCGTGAAGTTTGTTTACTTTGAGTTCATCCATCACTTTTGGTGTGTACAAGGTAGTTCTAGAAGACAGAGATAGTCATTTATCAAGATCAAAATTTTGCACTTTTATGGACGGCTCACAAGCTGGCGAGGCCATAAAGATGCAAGTTTTGGTTAAGGTTTTCTCTCGACAATAATAATTTAGCTTCGCTTCATTCGCTGGTTTAGCGTTACATTTTAGATGACATTATTTTACGGACGCTATGACAGGATATGCCGAGTTCATAAAACTATATTTTATTGTGGGATTAACGGAAATAGTCATTTTTGATGCTAGATTGCGAAGTAGATTCGAGAATGCTAAATAATTTCGCAATTTTTTCAAAAATTGTATCCCACAAGTCAAAAATTACTAAAAATGTGAAGAAAAAATTCTACATTTATAATACCGCGTAATATACAGAGTGTCGCAGAATATGCGGGCAATCGCTCGGACAGGGGATGTGAAAATAATATGACACGTTCCTATAAAATGTTTCCATAAAGGATGCACCTGAAAATGTTTTGTAACAACTTTTAAAGTACTGTGTAATTTAATTATTTTTGAATATGAAGGGCAAAAGATAATACTTCTTAAAAATTAACCCATGAAAACAATTTTGCTTATTTGGTTTGCCAGGGACGGACTAGCTGTAGCACAATAATGACAATTTTTTACACCCTTCACGATAAAACCACAAAAATAATATACATGGTGTTAAAAAAAGAGTGGAAAATATTTCAGGAGGTAATAGTATGAACCAAAATAAGCAGAAAAGTCTTAATAAACATGGGTCCGCAAAGTAACGGTTGCGGAGATATGGACCTCTATTCGTTTTTCAAACATTTTATTTTATTAGGAATAAACCGACAAAGGAAGCTTTTAACAAACAAAAAACAAAGTTACAGAAGATGTTCAAAGTGCCCTCCGTCCATTTCCAAGCAGGCACGACATCTTCGTCTCAACGATATTCGAACTCTTTCGAAAACACCCTCCTTGGTTTGGATTTCTTGACACTTTTGATTAATCCGTAGCTGCAGCTCTTCCAGGCTATTTACAGGAGTACCATACACTAATGTCTTCAAATATCCCCAAACAAAGAAATCTAGAGGGTTCAGATCAGGCGATCTTGGAGGCCATAAAACAGGTCCGG